CGGCACATAACAACAACAACATGGTCACCTAGTTGCAGGAAATAGATTTCAAATAACAGGGCTATGTTTGCTTTTAAGATTTCGCGAACATATAGGGATTGTTCCAGGCTACCTTGCTAGAGAATCCCCAATTTTTCCAACCACAGAGTCCTTTTTCTGCCAGTGCACCGCGAGACAAACTTTAGAATTTCTTTCCAGGCCAACGGTTGTCAGTTAACTTGTAACTCAAGTCTGAAGAACTGCGCATGTTCCGGGAGCCAGGGTCGGGGGTCGGGTAGATCCGGCGCCACCAAGCAGGAAGAGGCGGAGTAGTTTGAACTGCCTGCTGGCGGGAAAAGAGACTGGAGTCTTCCCGCCCGCGCTCGCTGTCCCGCGCACTGCGTACTCTGCAACATGCCCGCCGCCGGCTCCGAGCCACTACTGCAGCCGCTGACTGCTGCGTCGCAGCCCCACGGCGAGCTGCAGTACCTGGGCCAGATCGAACACATCCTCCGCTGCGGCGTCAGGAAGGAGGACCGCACCGGCACCGGCACCCTGTCGGTGTTTGGTATGCAGGCGCGCTACAGCCTGAGAGGTAATTGCACCCGTGAGCGCCTCGGTGGGGTGGGCTCAGGAGGGCGCCTTCCAGTTTAGGCTCCGAGATGCTGTGCGTTAACGCGCGCAGGATATGCGGGCGTTGTGGTGAACGTTTTCCTGCGTTTAGGTCTAACCGAAACTCTGGGAAAGCATCCTTAACCCCATTTTGTAGATGCCAAAACTGAGGGTCGCATTTGATGCATGATTTACATAGGGTCACTCAGATGGGAGTGTCAGAGCTGGGAGGTAAAACCAGGGCCTTCAAGTCCGGTGCTTTTAATCACCCCGTTATGCTGGCTCCCTACAAGATGCGTGATCTAGTGTTCGCCCCAATGTAAGAGAGCGGGAAGCACCTGCGCGGGCTTGTCCAGGGACTAACTAAAGGCGCAGGTTTTTGCTCCTCCCCTTCCTTGCCTTCTATTTCCCTCGCCAACTGCCAAAGTCTAAAAACTGTCGCGAGTTTAAGTAGGCGGGGCGACGGCGGAAGATCAGAGAGGACCGACCGGGCGGCTGACGCTTGTGGGGCCAGGGATTTCTAGTTCCTGACAGTTTCCCGTCCAGTTTCCAAAAACCAGTTTCCTTAAAATAAACATCCTAAGAGTCCGAGAGATTTTATTCGTCCGTTCTATTCCTTTGAAACAGATGGCTCCTGGGAAGAGGTGTCTCGGAGTAGTTAAAAGATTTGCCCAATGTGGTTACACAGCTCAGAACACTTAGGATCAGGGTTTCAGCCGACAAAAGGAACGGGCGAGGGAGGGACACAGGACATGAGACAATAGATATGCCTCTCCCACCTCTTTGACCTGGACTGAGTGTCTGTTTCATGGGGAGAGCAATCTCCTCAAAGGTTTTTAACAAAAGAGGTGACATCATATTTCTATAGTGTAACATCAGATCTCCATAGGGTTTGGGAAGTCCTTTGAAGGGGATTCCCAGGCCTTCCTTCCAAGGTGCCTCTGGTTGGTAGCGTTTAATGGTTTGCACTACCCAGGGACTCCGTACACTCATTCTAGAGACTGAAAAATACCGGGCAGCTGTGACTGATGGGCCTGGGACAGTCCAGGGAGTTCGGCTTGAGCTCCGAGATGACCTTCTTGCAGTTCCAAGTGTGGCCTCTAGAGAGCCACCCCCCCCCCCCCCCCCCCCCAAAAAAAAAAAGGAGCTCTGGTGGTGTGCCCAAGGCATTTGACTGCTAACCAGAAGGCTGGCGGTTCAAACCCACCAGCCACTCCTGGGAAGGCAGGTTGGGCAACCTACTTCTGTAGAGATACCTCCTTGGAGACCCAAGGAGAGGGGTCTTTTAGTCCAGCCCCTCTGTTTAGACTGCCAGGATGGTGGGCAGCTTACTTAACCTTGTTGGTGTCCAGCTTCTCCTCATGTTCAGAATGGAGGATACCGTACTTCATGGCAATACTGATAAAAGTAAGTGCTTGGAAAATATATCCCTGCTACATGAATGTCAGCTGTACAACTGATAATGCAGGTGGAATATGTACTGTAGTTAGAGATAAACTGTTAGGTTTTTATTTCCATTATCACTTGATGCCTCCCATTGCACATTTCTAGATGTTACAACATTCTTGGTTGCCCGTGGTGCCTGTAAAATACAGTACCTCACAGTTGTCTGTAGGCTTAAATAGGATTCTGCATATACAGTATTTAACTATTTTTGGTACATTAAAAATAGAGATTAATTTGCTTTGGAGTCCTTTGGTGGTGCAAACAGTTCATTTAGCTACTAACTGAAAGGTTGGCAGTTCAAGACTACTTAGAGGGTCCTCAAAAGAACAGCCTGCAAGCTGCTTCTGACAGATCACAGCTGTTAAAAACCCTATGAAGTGCAATTCTACTCTGACACACGTGGAGTTGCCGCATAAGTTAGAATTGGCTTGATGCCAACTGGTTTAATTTATTGTTGCCAGATGCCATCAAGTCAGTTCCTACTCACAGTGACCCCAGGCCCACTGCCTGGTCCTGTGGCATCCTCACAGTCGTTGCTCTTTGAGCCCATTGTTGCAGCCTGTGTGTCAGTACATCTCATTGAGGGTCTGTCTCTTTTTTGTTGACCCTCTACTTTACCAGGCCATGATGTCCTTCTTCAGGGACTGATCCCTCCTGATAAAACATGACCAAAGTGCAAGAGACAAAGTCTCACCATCCTTGTTTTAAGGAGCATTCCAGCTGTACTTTTAAGACCGATTTGTTTGTTCTGGCAGTACGTGGTATATTCAGTATTTGAGGCAACTGAAAATACCATTGCTTGAGTCAGGTGTACCCTAGTCTTCAAAGTGACAACTTTGCTCTTTTATACTTTTAAAGTGTAAAACAAGGTGTTTTACAGCAGATTTGTCCAATGCAATATGTTGTTCGATTTCCTAACAGCTGCTTCTGTGGACATTGATTCTGGATCCAAGTACAATAAAATCTTTGACAACTTCAGTCTTTTCTCCGTTATAATAATATTCCTTATTGGTCTGGTTGTAAGGATTTTTGTTTTCTCTTTGTTGAGGTGTAATCTGTACTGAAGTCTTTGACCTTCATCAGTAAGTGCTTCAAGTCCTCTACGCTTTCAACAAACAAGGTTGTATTATCTGCGTATCACATGTTGTTAATGAGTCTTGCTCTAATCCTGATGCTAAGTTTTTCATATAGTCCAGGTTCTCAGATTATTTGTTCAGCATACAAATCAAGTAAGTATGATGAAAGGATACAACCCTGATGCATACCTTTTCTGATTTTAAACCATGAAATATCTCCTTGTTCTATTTGGTTGACTCTCTCTTGATCCATGTACAGATTCCTCATGAGCACAATTAAGTGTTCTGGAATTCCCATTCTTTGCAGTGTTATCCATAATTGGTTAGGATCACATGGATGAAGACCTTTGCATAGTCAGTGAAGCACAACTAAATATCTTTTTTATTTTCTCTGCTTTCAACCAAAATCCATCTAACAACAGCAGTGATAACCCTCATTCCACTTCCTCTTCAGCTTGTATTTCGGGCAGTTCCCTGTCTGTGGACTGCTGCAACCTTTTAAAATTTACATACCAACCACTAAAGCCAAAGATGGGGACATTGAAGATGTTTACCAACTTCTATAGTCTGAAATAGATCAAACATGCAATCGAGATGCCCTGAAAATTACTACCAATTGGAATGCAAAAGTTGGAAATAAGGTAGGATCGGTAGTTGGCCATGGTGATAGAAATGACACCGGAGATCACATGATGGAATTTTGTATGACTAACAACCTATTCATTGGAAATACCTTTTTTCAACAACATAATTGCTGACTATACATGTGGACTACCACAGAGGGAATACACAGAAATTAAATCAGCTACATCTGTGAAAAGAGATGATAGAGAAGCTCAGTATCATCAGTCAGTGCAAGGACAGGGGCCAACTATGAAACAGACTGTCAGTTGCTCATGTGCAAGTTCAAGTTCAAATTGAAGAAAATTTAAACAAGTCCACAAGAGCCAAAATACAACCTTGATTATATCCCACCTGAATTTAGAAACCATCTGAAGAATAGATTTGACACGTTGAACACCAGTGACCAAAGACCAGACAAGTGGTCCAATTTGCTTTACCAAATATTTGAAAGTTATTCTTTGTTTTTGGCCATTGTGATACTATCTACTTTCCCTTGGTCCTGTGCAAGTTTTCTCCGGCAGGATAAACATGGAATTAGTGCTGAGAACCTTCCACTTTGTCCTGGAACGCATTTTGTACTGTCCTCTTCCACAGGGTCCATGCTAACTAGGTGGTTGATAGGAGCTTTTTTTTCCTCTCCCAATTTTATTGTGATTTGGGTGAAAGTTTACAGAGCAAATGCATCTTCTATACAACGGTTCACATACACTTTGTCTCATGACATTAACTGTAATCTCTTACAATGCAACAACTCCCACTTCCTCCCCATAGCCACCTCTTCCCTGTGTCCTTCCCTCCCATGTACTCCTGCCCCCCGAACTGTCTCCATGTGCATACACAGCCCTTCTATTCTCCCATGATTGATATCTCCAAGGAGTGTATCTATCTAATGTAAATGTTCAGGTCATATGCCTGTCTTTTGTTTGGCTGGAAGCCACAGGAGTGGGTTCAATCCCAGACCTGAAGGGTAGCTAGGGACCATAGTCTCCGGGGTTCCACCAGGCTCTCTCAGACTACCAAACCTTGGAGCTCTTTCTACTGCTTTTTTCCACATGGCTCTCTCTGCCCTCATATCCCCCCTTTTCATTATGTGGGATTCCTAAGCCCAGTGATGGAGGAGTCCACAGGGCTGTCTAGGTTTAGTTGTGCCCCTGCAGCTCAGGAATCTGACCCCAGCCCTGACTAATGACACCCTCTGTGGAAATTACCATCTTTTAGATGTTCCTGTGGTCATTCCAGGCCTTATTTCTGGTTTGTAGTTTTCTTTCACAGAGAAAGCTGGAGGATGTGTCCTGTTTCCCATCTTCACATTATATGGCAAATTGTTTTTCAGATACATTTCCTCTGCTGACAACCAAGCGTGTGTTCTGGAAGGGCGTTTTGGAGGAGTTGCTGTGGTTTATCAAGGTAAGAATTTGCTACTGTTGGAAATAGAAGTCCATTCTCAGCACAGCTGGTAGTGAGAACCTTTTACAAGTCAAATCATATCTTTCCCTGGCCTCAAACCATTAATGGCTCCGATTTCATTAGTAAGAGCCAAGGACCTTTTGGAGACTTGTGAGGCCCCTGTTATCTGGGCTCAGCTGCAGCTCTCCCACTTGTTCTGCCCTGCCCACAGTGGCTCCTTGCTGATCTTTGAGCATACTGAAACATTTCCACCTCGGGCTTCCAGCATGTGCCGTTCCCTCTCCCTGGAACCTTCTGCTACGTGTAACTTTCCCTCACCTTCTTCCAGCCTTCTCTGACCTCCCTCTAATTCTGCCCTACTACTCTCTTCTACCCCTCCATAGCCTTTATCATCATCTAATCTATAATGTCTGCCTTCTTTCTAGTGAGGGAAAGAAGGTAATAAAGAAGTAAAATGTACAGTAAGGTCCATAAGAGCAGAAACTTTTTTCTCTTGTTCATTGTTGTATTCCCAGGGCTTAGAATACAGCCTGCCACATAAGAGGCATTCAGTATATATTGAGCAATGATTATAGATACCAGCTGTGTCTTTATGTTTATAATAAATTAGAGGGGCTTCAGTAACAAGACATACTTCTTCCAAAGAGGTACCTTTGACTGGGGCTGGAATTCTTAATGGTGGGCAGCAGTGAAACCCTGAGCTCCCCTAGCTTCTCTCTCTGCTTGCGTTCTGATCTAGAACCAGGGATGCTCTGGGCGGTATTGCTGGGAGGGATGCTGAAGGAGATAGAAGCTGAGATCCCTCTTTGCAATACAATGGGTTTCACTCACTTTATATATGACCTTTCTGGCCCTGGGTTTGTAGTTTGGCCAAAATGATTTGCTAGGCCACAATTTTGCAAAGAGATTGGACAGTAAAAACCTTTGGAGGGATTGGTCAGTTGATGGTCTTGGTGGGAAGAGTAGATTTATAAAAGCAGTAATTCTACAGAGGTTGAGTGGGTCCTCACTACCCTCAAGAAGAACTGGGAGTGAAGTATGTTCTATTGACCCTTGGACCTTGCACTGAAAACTTAGACCCAGTAGACAGAGCTATAGTGTTGGAAACAGTGCAAGCAGGTGAGAGATAACATGTTAGCAGTATGAGTGATGCAAGATGGTGGGAACCAAGAAACCAGCATGGGCTGGCTGCAGTGGGCTTCCCAGCCCATGGAATGAGGTGGGCAGCTATGGTGGGCTTGCTGGCCCATGGGGTGAGAGAGTTAAGCTCCTTCTGGCGGGAGTCTTAGAGGCTTGCTGGTGGCATGGGATGCCTCCGGGTACTTATCAGTGGAGCTGAGGAGCTACAGCACTTGCTGAGCAGGCCAGAGGCCAGGCTAAGAGTGTAGCCAGCCTGTCTAAGAAGCACAGCGTGCAGCAAGCACGGTCAAGAAGGAGTTGAGCAGTCTTGATTGGACTCTGTCCTGATTGACGAATTGATTCTGTCCCATATTTGTTCCTGTTACTGTTAGGTTGATTCTAATCCTGAATTGTAGCCCATTACTTCCCTAATAAACCACATAATTTTAAGTGTGGTCTGCCAGTTCTGTGTAGCCATTGCAACAAATTACCAAACCCAGCAGAGAAGCAGAGTGCCTTGGGGAGGACGGCAGAATCAGTAAAAATGTTGGAGAGTGGAGGTATGTGTAAGCTCCATCTCATAGAAATCACCTTCAGCTGACAGTGATTACCCTTCCTCCCTCCTCAGGAAGTTAGAGGACTTCTCACATTTCACTCCTGAAGAGATGTTGGTGTGGCTTTCATGGTCTTGGACCAAACCAGGACTGAACACCCCTTACCGTGTTTTGCGAAGGGTTTAGACTGGCTCTGGTCCAGTCTTCCTTGTGTATTCTTGGACTAGTTTGTTCTCTGTTGGCCAGTCTCAAGTGACAGCTTCTATTTTCACATTAGACATTGTCGGATGTCTAAGAAGAGGATATTCTTAAACACTAGTGAGAGCCCAGTCTGAATGGATGAGATGGGATGGGAGACTTTGGAAGTAATTGAAAGACTATGCAGTGATTTGATGGAAGTAGAAAAATTGGGACAAGCTTAACAGAAAGGGATGAAATGAGATGCTCAGAAATAATATGCCTTACCCTGTTTTAACTTAAAGCTTGAGTTCAGGATTCTAAAAAGTCCTCACCGGGAGCCTCTCATACTCACCTCTGATAGGGCTATTCCATTGGTGACTAGATATAACAGGAGTATTCAGCACTAGAGCAAGAGACCTGTGGACAAGATGGAGAAATAGGAGCTATGTAGAAGGACAATTGAGTGTTAACTGGCCAAAGGACTAGCTCTAAGAATCACTAATGTTTACTGAGCACCAAGTGTTTTACTTATATCTAATCCTCCCACTAATCATAGGTGGTAAATACTACTAAAGTACTCTTTTATAGATGAGAATAGTGATGCTAGAGGGGTAGGGAGCTGTCAGGGGAAGGTAGGTAGAAGGGCCTGGCACTGAGCCCAAGTGTATGTGGTGCCAAAGCCTTACTCGTGACCTTTATAGCACATTATGCTGAGGTCTGTCCTTGACCTGGCTGCTGGTTAGAGGATGCACAATCAAGCAGGTTGGGATAAAATGGTCTAATGGGATGAAATATGAGAGAAATAAACAAGGCTTTGTACTTGGCAAAAACAACAAAAATACCTAACTATGTAAGCGTTGGTTGGGGGTAAACATAACTTTATAGTGGCATACGTAAGATACAAATGGATTGATATATTTGCCAGAAGAGCTAGTATTGACTAGAATAAGGAGAAGAAATTTCCTGTATACGAGGTATGAGTTACACTGGACAAATTGTACCTGAGTTCTTAAATTCATTTTGGGGTGTCCTACTTAAGAGACAAAACACATTCAGAACTGTCAGCTGAGGGCGGGGGGAATAATTAAAGCATTTGGAGGTGCTTAGTCTAGAAAATTTAGTTGAGGGGAATAGGAAAGAAGATTGGAGGGGTGGTTGCAAAGCAAGGGTCACACTATCGTGTAGGTCCTCAAGGAGTTTGGGCTGAGACAAGCCAGCTTAAAGAGGTGGAAGATGCCATACGCCTTGCTCAGCTATCGAGTACAGGCCAGTGGCCACTTGGAGGAAGGCTCTTACGGGGATTGACACAGGTGTCTCAGAACTCACTCGAATGCCTACTGTCCTCTCCCCATCTCTTCCAGGGATCCACCAATGCTAAAGAATTGTCTTCCAAGGGAGTGAAGATCTGGGATGCCAATGGGTCCCGAGACTTTTTGGACAGCCTGGGATTCTCCACCCGAGAAGTAGGAGATTTAGGCCCAGTTTATGGCTTTCAGTGGAGGCATTTTGGGGCAGAATATAAAGATATTAATTCAGGTGAGGAGATGGGGATGCCTCAGATTTCCCTGCCTACCCTTCATAGCATGAGTTTGTGCTGTTGCTTCAAATCAGTAAAGCCTGGAGGTTAGTAATAACTCAGTTCTGAACAGTTGATGTGTAATTCGGACATTGTGGAAGGCCGTGGAGGAGCCACAACTCAGCCCCATGAAGGTTGGACCACGCTCTTGGTGGCTAACTTTTCTTGAGCACTTCTGGGTGCATGGCATTTCAGATAGCTTTCTTCATTGGCAGAGTTACGTGTTGGTAGGTTCGCGAGAAGGAATGTGAAGATTCCATGTGGTTGCTTTGATCTCCCCTTTCAAACTGACCCACCCAGCACACTCGAGGTCACACTGCCATCTGGGATGGCAGTGTTCCCTGGCCGCCACCCCCCTCTACCCCTTAGGGTAGAGGAAGAATGAAGCATTTCACTCCTGACATCCTCCTTCCTCTGTCACTGTTGGCGATACCACTTTTTGAGTGTCATAGAGCCCTGCCCCTTCCTATCTCCTTAGGGCAGGGGTTGCAAGACCAAATGCCTGCCTTACTGCATGGGAGGAAAGAGACAAGAAGTAATAATTTACTAGCTGGGTAGGGACGAGTGAACTGGCGCGTATGTTGTTGTTATGTGCCTTCAAGTCGGACCCAACTCAGTGACCCCTCCTTGGGTTTCCAAGGTGGTATCACTATGGAAGTAGATTGTCCAACCAAGCATGAGACCCAGCTAAAAGAGATAGTAAACTCTTGCCTCCAGCGAGCTCGAGGAATTTGAGCAGAGTGTTGTTTGAATTCTTTAATAAAAGCCTAAAATCTGCATTTTACATACACTTGTAAAATTTTTTTTTTCTTCAAATGTTGGCAATTCCAGGAAGTTGAAAAATGGTATGGGCCAAACCATTTCCACGGGTAAATGGCCTGTAGGTTGTTAGTATGCAGCCGTCTGCGTATATCCCTTCTCAGGATGTGAGTGAGGCCACTGCCTTGGCTTGTTGGTGCCCCAAACCCTGCTAGTATTCAGTATACCTTGTTGCTCAAGAGGCTGTAATAAAATTATGTTCTTAGTTTAGAGTTGTATGAATGTAGAGCTGTTGGGTCTTAGTGAGGCAATTTTTTTTTATTTTCAATTTTTAATATTGAAATAATTACACATTTATGGAAAGTTGCTCCCCCCAAAAAAGAGATATACAGAGAGGTCCCCTATACCCTTTACCCAGTTTTCATCTTATATAACATTTTGCATAAATTATCATTGGTGCAATCCAGAAACCTTACCAGATTTCACCAGTTTTACATGTAATCATTTATCATAATGTAAATTCATGTAACTACCACCACAGTTCATCAAGTTGATCTTATTCTTTTTTTTAATCTCTGATACTACCTTTTTTGGAACTGTGATCATGAGAGGACTTTAAACAGGTTAAGAACTACTGGACTAGAACAGAGTCTGACACAAATGAGTCGAACTTTAACCTGAGCAAAATGCAAAGTTCTGCACTTTTGTTAGCAAAATCACTTCTCAAGGGTCTAGTTCCATTTCAGAAGGAAGGCAAGAGATCAGAAATGGGAAGAAGTTTAGGATGGTATAATCATTACACAGGTTTCCTGATATTTATAAGCCAAGAGTGTTGAGCTGCTAAGTTGTAATTTTAGGCGTTAAGTGTTGGAATGGTAGTACCTAGGTCACAGGAAGGAATATACAGTACTCAATTGGAAAGTGTAGAATGGTATTTTCTATTTCAGATCCTGTAATTTCTGTGGGACATAGATAAAGTAGATTGCATCAGTAAAGTGTGACAGTGGTTGATGGGTATAGAGGCTAAGTCCTATGGGGAGCACTTACAGAAACTAGGATTGTTCAGGTTGAAGAAGGTCAGCAATATGGGGAGGCAGTGTGGAGGAAGTGACTCTCGAACAGACCAGGTATTTAAAGGACTGTATAGAAAAGAAAGTACACTTTGGTATGGCTCCAGAGGACAGACCCAAGCTGCTTAGACAAGGTCTTGAACTCAGCATCATCCAACGAGATCTCAGAAATGTATACAGTGCGTGGGATAACTTGTGACCATGGGTCATGGGGCTATAATAGATGACCTCTAAAGTCTGTCTCTTGAGATGCTGTGGTTAATGTTTGTGTTCTCTCTGATAATTTTACAGATTACTCAGGTCAAGGAGTAGACCAGCTGCAAAAGGTTATTGACACAATCAAAACCAACCCTGATGACAGAAGAATCATCATGTGTGCTTGGAATCCAAAAGGTAGAAAGCAGCCCAGTCATCCTTTTTCGCACTAACCGTGCTATTAGGAGGAAGGAAGAAAGACGGTGCTGTAAGAAGGCACACAGCAAAGATGGAACTGCTGGGCTCTGCCTCCGGACACACTGTTGGCTGTATGATTTTGGGCAAATCAGACCTGGCCCGTTTTCACCTTCAAATGATGGGCTGGACCCATATGACCTTAATCTGTATATTTATACTCATTCTTACTCCAAAAAGCGTTCTTATTGCCTGTAAAAATACACATAAGATTTTTAACATTTTAAATTGTGGCAGGTTATATTTCAAATTACCTCCACCTCACAATTGCTAACTTTTTTTTTTTAGTAACACTTTATTGTGTTTTTGATTAAAGTTTACACAGCAAAGTGGGTTCCCATTTCACAGTTTCTACACAGATTGTGTGATGGTAGTAGCTACATTTTTCAGTGTGTCAGCATTCTCTTCAATTGTGTTCTGGTGGTTCTGTTTCCAGAGCTTTAGTTTCCCTGCCCCTTATCGTTTCATCTTTGCTTTAGTGTAATCGTTGACCTTTTGGTGCTATCGTATAGATGGTTTTTTGATGGAGCACTGTACTCACAGGTAATATCCTTTATTTTGTATGCCAATCTTATTTTGCCTACGACGCCAAATTAATTAGTTCTTCCTATATTTGTAGTTCAGTGCTGTGAAGGTAGCCCAAATAATTTCTACTTGGAAGGACGAGCTAAACTAACAACAGGTAGACATCTAGAAGTCTCAGTTTATAGACAGGTTTCCAGCAGCTGTGTGCTACCACTGGGCTCTCGGTAGTCTCTTGACATGAGGGGGCAGGTGTGGTTCGTGGGGGTTGCTGCGGCCTCGTGCTTCTTTCATGCTCTCCACCACGAGTTACTGCTCTCCACCTTTAGTTACTGCTCTCCTGTTTGCTTTTGCCCGCTTGTGATGTCCTTTAAAACCCTCACCCCTCTGCATTTTTGTTTGTGCTGGTTCTGCAGACCTTCCTCAGATGGCACTGCCTCCCTGCCATGCCCTTTGCCAGTTCTATGTGGTGAACGGTGAGCTGTCCTGCCAGCTGTACCAGAGGTCAGGAGATATGGGCCTGGGGGTGCCTTTCAACATCGCCAGCTACGCCCTGCTCACCTACATGATCGCACACATCACAGGCCTGAAGGTGGGCTACTCTCGGGAAAACAGAACAACAATAAAAAAAATTACCAGTGTGATGTACTTAGATTCTTTAATGTGGAAAAACCAATTGCGGAGAATTCATTATGTAATTAGTTCCAAAATTTGATATCGTCCATCTTCATCACTTGCAGAGGCTATATTTGCAAATTCACCTCCCTGCTAAAATTCATTTGTAATCCCACAGTCAATACCTGTGGTTCTGTAGTCTTTTGTGGGCATGTGCAGAGCAGTGAACAATTTAAGTTGCCCAGTGCACGAGTTCTCAGCTGAGGTCAGACAAGGCGAGGCTTTGCCACCCTGTTGCAGCGCTCTGTACTAGCACCCTTTCTTGTGGCCCACTTAGTGCCACATTTATCACATTTTTGTGCTTTTTGTTGATTTTACTGCTTAAATGACTCCCAAGTATAGGCCTGCAGTGCTGTCTAGTGTTCCTGAGCACAAAAAGGCTGTGATGGACCCTATCAGGAGATACGTGTTAGATAAGGTTTGTTCAGACATGAGTTATAATGCTGTTGGCAGTGAGTTCACTATTAATGAATTGACTGTATTAAATGTCTTTAAGCTGAATTACATAAAACAAGGTTATGTACTGATCAGTTGAGAAAAATGCTGTGACCGAAGGCTCACAGGAATCTAATTATTTATTTCCCCTAGCAATAATTGTTCCCATTAAAAAAAAAAATTGCCATCGAATTGATTCTGACTCATAATGTGTATAGGATAGAGTAGAACTTCCCCACAGGGTTTTTAAGACTATAAGTCTTTACAGAAGCAGACTGCCCCATACTTTTCCCGGGGAGTGGCTGGTGGTTTCAAACCACTGACCTTTAGTTACCAGCTGAATGCTTTAACCACTACACCACCAGAGCTCCTTGTTCGTGTTTCGGTATCTGCTAACTCAGTGTTCATGATAACTTAATAGATTTTAACTACCATGAATAACAGTAAGCGATTGGTATGGGTAAATTTAAAGTGAATAGATTCCCTTGGTAGCCTTCTGTGGAGCTTTCATGTCATTGTATCCTATATAAACTAGCAGCAACAGACTTAATTTAGAATTAACTTTTCTCAAAAGCTGCAGTGTTTATTCTTGAAAAGTCTTAGGATATCTGCATATTCTTTTTTTATTTTTTTTTTTTTGAAAAAATTTAACTGTGGTGAAAACACAAGACATTTGCCAACATAACAACTTCCGCAGCTTTACACATCAAAGACACTGATGACAGTTTATGTGTTGTGCCACCACTATTGCTATCCTTTTCTAAAATATTCCACCACCATTAGCATAAACTCAATGCCTTCCAAACAAAAACTTCCCCTTTCCCCTTCCCTCCTACCTCTGGTAACCACTAATAATTTTTGGTTTATATATATGATTTTTTCCCCCCTCAACCTATCTAGGAATTTTTCCTCCCCTCCCCTCCCATCCCTTGTAACCACCAAAGTTTCCTTCCATGTATAAACTTTTCCTTGACTTTTTACAATAGTGGACAATAGTGGTATTTGTCATTTTGTGATTATTTCACTCAGCATAATGTCCTCCAAGTTTATCCACGTTATGTGGTGTTTCACAGATTCTACATTATTCTATAGGGTTGCATAGTAGTCCACTATATGTATGTACCACAGTTTTGTTTATCCATTCCTCAGCTGATGGGCACTTAGGTTGTTTCCATCTCTTTGCTATTGTAAATAGTGCTGCAATGAACATTGGTGTGCATATATCTATTCATGTCCTAGCTCTCATTTCTTTAGGATATATGCCTAGTTAATGGGATTGTTGGATCAAATGGTACCATATAGTATATTCTAAATGATACTTTAAAGGCATTGAAATGAAAACATTTACTGTTTTGCTTTCTCTCATGGAGTTTAGCCAGGTGACTTTGTACATACTTTGGGAGATGCACATATTTACCTGAATCACATTGAGCCCCTGAAAGTTCAGGTAAGAATTATATCTGTTACATTTTTTGAGTTTGGTATCTTCTCTTGATAAAAGGTTCATTTTTGGGACATCCTTTATAAAACAGGCATTCTGCTAGAATCTGTCTTTATCTGAGATAAAGGTGGATGTGCTCTTGGTTTCAGGGCTTCAGTTTTGGGAATGGTAGTGGACAAATGGGTAGGGATGAGGCAGACATGCGCCTTAGCAACCACAGGCAGATAACAATTATATTGTAAAACTGTGACAGGTGGTGTAAGGCCCAAAGCAGTAGCACAAGAGAGGAAGAGCCACATTCTGACCAGGAGACCTTCCCAGGGGGAGCATTTCAGCTTATATTTTTACTTGAGTGAGAATTTAAATGTAAAAAGAAATAAAAGAAACCAAGCTCACTACCATACAGTCAATTCTGACTCATAGTGACCCCTTTTGGGTTTCCAAGGTGGTCAATCTTTACAGAAGTAGTTTGCCCAATCTTTCTTTTGTGGAGTGGCTGGTGGGTTTGAACTGCCAACCTTCTGGTTAGCAGTCAAATGCCTTAGGCACTATGCCACCAAAACTCCTTTTAAATGTAAGTATTTCCCCTTAATTTTATGCTGATCACAATACAGGTTTCCCTGCAATCTGAAAGTAGAGCATTATAGGAAACCTTTTGTAAGCCAAAGCAGTATAAAGTGAAGAAGCAATTACCATTACTTTATAAGGGAGAAATTTTTGAGCATTCCCAGACCCAAAAAATAACCTCCCAGATCATACCAAGTAACACAGTAGAACCTAGAACAACACTCAAAGCAAACCAAACTCACTGCCCTTGAGTCAATTCTGACTCATAGCAACTCCCATTGGGTTTCCGAGGCTGTAAATGTTTATGGACATAGATTGCCCCATCTTTGTCTTGTGGGGCAGCTGGTGGGTTTGAACCACTGACCTTCTGGTTAGCAGCCAAATGCTTTACCCATTACACCTTCAGAACTCCTTAAAACAACACTAACATATAGTAAAACCAGGAATGATATGGTAAATACACAGCCTATATAAAGTAGGAATAACAGGTGCTGTGTAGTTCCTTGGGGAGCAGCTTTCTGATGCCTCTCCTACTGCTTGGAGTATACGACAAACACTGAATGCTAGTTTGATTTTGGCTTTTTTTTTTTTTTTTTTTAAAAAAAAGAAAAAACCATTTTAGATATCTTTTAGTTATCTAAAAACAGGTGCTATGCAGTTCTTTCAAAAAAGCAAAGTGGCATAAAGTGAACTTTCAAAAACTGAGGGAATACCTGTATTTAGAGCTGAGCTTTCAAAAATTTGCCTATTCAAATCTTTAAGTTGTACCCAATATAAAAGCAAACCCACTGCCATCAAGTCCATTCTGACCATAGTGACCCTATAGGGCAGGGTAGAACTGCTCCATAGGGTTTCCAAAGCTGTGAATCTTTATAGAAGCAGACTGCCTCATCTTTGATGGAGCAGCTGGTGGGTTTAAACCAGCCAAACTTTTGGTTAGCAGCCAAATGCCTTAACCCACTGTGCCACTAGAGTTCCTCCTGTAAGTTGTAGCAGCCAACAAATGGTTTGAAATGGCAATAAAAATAAAATGCAAGAGTGTCTGTGCTTAATTAAAAACCAAACCAGTTGTCATTGAGTCAGTTCTAGTCGACGGCAACCCCGTGTGCCGCAGAGTAGAACTACGCTCCACAGGGTTTTCTGTGGCTGGTTTTTTTGAAGGAGATTTCCAGGCCTTTCTTTTGAGGCACCTCTTGGTGAACTCAAACTGCCAGCCTTTCAGATGGTGGCCAACCATCGTAACCACATTTTGGCCCTTTCTAGATTAGATCTGGATTTCAGAAGTTACTTCTACTGGGGAAGTTGGCTGCTTTTGTTCAGAGGGTAACTTTAGGGCTTACTCAGATACTTCCCTCTGTAGCTATTTGCTCCAGTCCGAGTTGAACAGACTGATGTGTAATTGTGAGTTATGTCCACATCCTAATTGCCACTGGTTTGCATCTCTTTCTATTAATTGTTAACAGATCTAATCTTTCCTTCCCTTTTCTGCCAAGGACAGTGCGGTAGTGATTATTAGTTCTTACCATACTGAGCATCTACTGTGAGTTACAGATAGAAAAGTAAAAGACTATCCCTGTCCCTAATACATTTTCCCAGTGGTTGGAAGAACTTGCACCTCTGGAACCATCAGGCTTCTGATGCTATGTAATTTCACAAAACATACTTCACACCTGCATGACTGGGCTGGTCACCCTCCAACAGTATTATTTAATCAGGGACATGGTATCTACAGTTTTATACTTGTACAAAAGAATAGGTGATAAAATATACTGTGTACTTGTTTTCTGAAGAGACAAGGGTGAAGAATTAAAGCAGTTTATACAAATATGGCATCATAATGGTCCTCGGTCTTACTTTGTTTTTAGCTCCAGCGAGAACCAAGACCTTTCCCCAAGCTCAACATTCTTCGAAAAGTTGAGACAATTGATGATTTCAAAGCTGAAGACTTCCAGATTGAAGGATACAATCCTCATCCGACTATTAAAATGGAAATGGCTGTCTAGAATGCTTTGGGAGTTGTTTCAAGCATGTTGTAACCCTGTATAGGTTGGACTGGATGCCCAGGTGAAAAAGTTTTTTGTTCTAAAGGAAAAACGAAAATGAACTAGGTCAAAACCCTGTTGGTTACCTATCAGTTACTTTTCATTAAAAACTACTTCCTTTTAAGCATGTTGCCAATGACAAATATAACAATGCTGGTTCTTTTAGTAATAAAATCTCTTGAGCTTGGTTAATTCTCTGAGGAGGTATGAAAATGCTGCAATTTTGAATACTGTTGGAGGAGTAAAACTTCACGTGCTCTGAACATATAGGTATATATGCATTTCAATCCACATGTTTGTGGAGGTTAGTGAATTTCAAGAATTCCAGAAACTACACCACCAAACTTGAGTAAGCTTGAATAGCGCCATCACTCGTAATGACTGGTGTGGTTATGAACATTTAAAGTCACTTGTTTTATATACTGCTGTAATAAAGCTGCGTTCTGCATTTGTCAGTGGTTGGTGTTTTTTCGTTTTCTCTTCCTAGTCCCTTATTGCCATTTCTCTGCCCAGTTCCTGCCTAAAATAATTTCATCTGACTAATAAATACCCCTAAACAAACATTTGCTGTTTTCATTTGGATACTGTTTATTGAATTATATATTTTAGAAATACTGACTAAACTATATTTTGCCATGTTGATCTTTGATTCATCTAATTCCAGCCACATTTTATCATTAGAATATAATGACCTAGTGCAAAAACGGCAAGGATGCCACATATCCTGACCTCCTCTAATCCCGCAAGAGGAAGACAGGATTACCAGCAGTAACCCAAGGCCTGTTCCTGCCAGGCCAGACATGCTGCCTCCCTCCAGCCCTTTCTCCAACCGCTTTATCTCCCCCCATTTTAAATAGCCAATTTCTAATTTGCCCATCCCTATCAAACCAGTACTCTGAGGAGACAAGCATGATCCTTTCCCTCTGGAGAGTCTTCTGTTCTGCTTGGAAACTTCAGGCATGTGGATCCATAAACAAGCAAAGTCCAGCCCAGCACAAGCCATCAAATTGCAACAACTTAACACCAGCTGTGTCAATCATCTTCCTCTTTGGTCGGGTTCTGGTCAGCTCAGCCCTAGCCATCCCAGCTAGGTCATGGGTACCAGCTGCC